AAAGTTAATATTTTTTATAAAAATTATTAATTTATTGAATGTATATTAAAAATAATACATGATATAACGGTTTGGTTTGATTTTTTAAATTATTTTTTGATTTTTTTGAAAAAATATAAATAAATTTGACAAAAATAAATTGTTTGGTTTGATTTTCCAAATGGTTGTAGAAGAATGTGACACCTCCCAAAATTCAGTTTTTTTTGTTGGTTAACTTGGAGGAGCAGAGTGCAATCTGGTCTTACATACAATTTACAAGTGCTTATGTGCTTATATGCTGACACTTGCAATAAGCTATGTCCTAAAGTATGGATTTAGTTAGTTAACAACTAAGTGGATGCAATAAGCTATGTCCTAATTACAAATTTTAATGTTATTTTCATTAAAGGATGCCGAAAATATTTAAATCTCTTATGTAACCTACACAATTAAATAAAGAAAATACGTAAAATAGTATTTTCAGGTTAATATAGTCATTTTGTCTTTTATTTGAGAGAACATGGTCTTTTCATTTATTATTTTGAATTTTATTTGAGAGAACATGGTCTTTTCATTTATTATTTTGAAGTCAATAAAATATATTTTTTTTAATAAAATAGGGTCAAAATTAAATATTTTTTTTAATCATTTCATTTAGTAGAGATTAGTTTCATGAAATTTAACTTAGGAAAAAACGTTAATTTTTCCATACACTTAGTATTTTTAATTGAAATTCATATTATGAAATTCATATTTGTCATTTTTTTGAAAGATAAAATTGACTTTAACCCCCTTTGCTTTACTCCATGTGTGATTTACCTCTGATATTTGAAAATAAGAACATAACCCCCTTATGACCTACCACATATTTCACACTTGATGTTAACTTGGATTGAACGTCTGACGGTATACTTCATTTAGTCCACAAACCACAAGAACATTATAGTTATTTCCAAATTATATGGGTAGTTTGTACATGCACATTGAAGTGATATTTGCCCTTTATTAAATATGCACAATGTCTTCAATTGAATTAATACACCTAGAGGGTAAAATAGTATAGTGAAATAAATCAGGTGACAAATACCATTTCTCATATAGTATAATAGACGACAGATTCAAGTATACAACCCCACATTGATATTACCAAGTGAAATACTGAATAAAGGTGTATATATATCTAGTACTATTATAAAGAGAAGTCTTCTCTGCGTGTTTATGTCTCATATTTTGGGTTTTTCAAAAATACCCCTATATTAGTTATATGGGCAGTTATGCACTAAATTCATTTTTTTTTTTCAAATCTCTCAACTTTTGAATTTTTCAGATTCATGTCAATTTACAGATTTTGAATTCAATCATACAGTTTACAGTCTTATTTTCTGAAACAAAATGATCATATACATGTAAGCATGTGGACCTCGAATTGAAATTACCAATCCACCTTAATTTTCAATTCATGAATTTCATAATATGACATTAACAATTCTCAATTTTATGAATTTCAATTCGCATAATTTTATTCTTAATTAAAAAAATTTCCTTTTATTAACAAGCAAACAATAAAATTTCTAATTCAACAAAAATAGATTGGTTTATTCACAATTCATAATTCCAAACCCTAATTTCAAAAAAAATAAACAGGATTCACAATTTACAATGCAAAAAATATAGACACGATTCAAAATTCAAAACCCTAATTTCAAAAAAAAAAAAAACAGGATTCACAATTCACAATGCAAAAAATATAAACGTGATTCAAAATTCAAAACCATAATTTCTGAAACCACAAGCATAATTTCTGATTTCACAATTCAAAACCCTAACATTTTATGATTTCATAATTTCATAACCACACATTTAAAACCCTAATTCAAAACCCTAACACATTTAATAATTGACATTTAAAACCCTAACACATTTAACCACACATTTCATAATTCAAAATCCTAACACATTTATGATTTCATAACCCTAATTTGTAATTTCATAATTTATGATTTCACATTCAATTGAAAACCCTACACAATTTTCACAATTCAAACCACAACATTTTTAACCAATTCAAAACCACACATTCACATTTTCACAAACACAATATACACATAAAATTCAAATGAGACAGAGAGAGATAGATGTCATATCACGGACAGAGAAAGAGCAGAGACAGAGAGTGAGAGCAGAGAGAGAGTTTGAGAGCAGAGGAAGAGCGAGAGCGAGAGTGAGAGTCTGAGAGCAGAGGGAGAGAGTAAAAGGAGAGCAAGAGCGAGGTTGGGTGTCTGAGAGCAGAGGGAGAGCGAGAGTCGAAAAAACGTAAGTGTAAAAAATGTGATTGCAAATGAGGGGGCTTGGGTGTTTTATATAAGTTGTAAAAGCGTGATTTCAATCCACGCTTTCATTTATCAACAGTGAAAGCGTGATTTCAAATCACGTTTTCTTAACAAAAAACAAATATGCACAGTGAAAGCGTGATTGCAAATCACGTTTTCTTAAGAAAAGAATGTGCACAGTGAAAGCGTGGTTTAAAACCACGTTTTCTTCAGGAAAAAAAATTTAAATAATATGCACAGTGAAAGCGTGGTTTGGAACCACGTTTTCTTCAGAAAACAAATTTATGTTAAAAGCGTGGTTTGTAACTACGCTTTCTTAATTAAAAGCGTGGTTTGTAATAGTGCTTTCACTATTCTTCAAATTTTCTGCTCCAAACAGTGGAAGTGTGATTTGTAATAACGCTTTAACCTAATTTAAAAATTCTGTCCAAACTAAACTTAATTTAAAAATTAAAATAGTAATTTGGCTTAATATGGGAAGAGCCTCCGATCTTGGGTCATTTCCCTAAATAAGCCAAATTATCAATTCAATTCCCAAACTAAGCCTAGTTTTGAAAGAATTCCCAAAATAGGCTAAAACGTGGTTCACAACCACGCTTTCAATGTCTGTGTGCCTGTCCCGCGTGAAAATTGGGAAATCTGAAAAACGTGGTTACAAACTATGCTTTTAATTAAGAAAGCGTGGTTACAAACCACGCTTTTAAATTTTTTTTTCCTGAAAGCGTGATTGTGAACCACGCTTTTAACTGAAACTTTTTTTTTTCTTCTGAAAACGTGGTTGTGAACCACACTTTTAGGCAAAATGTAAAAACGTGTTTTGAAAACACGTTTTCAACACAAAACCACGCTCATAGCTTTCATTCTGACAAACTTTCTCTCTCTCTCTCTCACACTATGACACACATATATAATTTGTAATAAAATTGAGACTAATATTATTTTAATATATAATTTATAATATAAATAAATTTTATTTTATAAAATTGAGACTAATATTAAATATATATAATAATAATTTATAATAGCAAATAATAATCAATTATATAATTTTTGTAAATATAAATCATTTTTATATAATTTTAGAAATAATTTTTTACAAATTAAATTGAAACAACCATACATACGTATGTATATAACCTGTCCAAAAGTTAAAATGATAATTATTTTTTACACTTAAATGATAATTATTTTTTATTTCTTAACCAAATTAATTTTTAATTTTTTTAAAAAAAAATTAAAAATCAAACCATACATAGCCTAAAAATCTTTTGATAAGTCATTTTTTACGTTGGTAACTTATTTAATTATTTGTTAATTTTACGACATTTTTACCATCTGAAGCCTGTTTCGTAACCATTTCATTTTCAGATTTTTATTTATATTTACAAAAATTTTAAAAATTGTCATAAAAACTTGTTTGATAATTTTTTTGATTTATAAATGATTGTCTCAGTTTGTAAAGAGGAAAGTTAGGGTTTTGAAATAAAGAAGTTAAACTTATGGTTTGTAGTAGATCATGGAAGTTTTGAGCCATTGGAACATGTTTATGTGTTTGTTTGGTGCAGCTTAAAAGCTGCTTATTTCAGCTTTCAGCTTAATTTAAGCTATTTTGATGTGTTTGGTTTAGCTTAACAATGCAGCTTATAGCTTTTTGTAAGTCAGAAATCAGCTTATTCTTTGAGTGTGGCAGGAGAAGCTTAATTTATAAGTTAGAAATCAGCTTATATTCATAGTTATAAACTATAAGCTGTTAAGGCATAAGCTATAAGCACTTTCCCACAACTCTACCAAACAGGGCTTATGTATGGTTTGATTTTTAAACCAACGTAAGAAATGACTTATCAAAAGATTTTTAGGCTATGTATGGTTTGATTTTTAATTTTTTTTTAAAAAAATTAAAAATTAATTTGGTTAAGAAATAAAAAATAATTATCATTTAAGTGTAAAAAATAATTATCATTTTAACTTTTGGACAGGTTATATACATACGTATGTATGGTTGTTTCAATTTAATTTGTAAAAAATTATTTCTAAAATTATATAAAAATGATTTATATTTACAAAAATTATATAATTGATTATTATTTGCTATTATAAATTATTATTATATATATTTAATATTAGTCTCAATTTTATAAAATAAAATTTATTTATATTATAAATTATATATTAAAATAATATTAGTCTCAATTTTATTACAAATTATATATGTGTGTCATAGTGTGAGAGAGAGAGAGAATTTGTCAGAATGAAAGCTGTGAGCGTGATTTTGTGTTGAAAACGTACTTTCAAAACACGTTTTTACATTTTGCCTAAAAGCGTGGTTCATAACCACGTTTTCAGAAGAAAAAAAAAAATTTCAGTTAAAAGCGTGGTTCACAATCACGCTTTCAGAAAAAAAAAAAATTAAAAGCGTGGTTTGTAATCACACTTTTTTAATTAAAAGCATGATTATAATCACGTTTTTAAAATTTCCTAATTTTCACACGGGACAAGCACACAAACGTTAAAAACATAATTATAAACCACGTTTTAACCTATTTTAATAATTATTTCAAAACTAGGCTTATTTAGGAAAATGCCCTCCGATCTTAATCGAATCCCATCACTTGGGACGGATGACATACGTGGCCTCTGGCCAAACCCTGGAACCAAACGGGCTGCTATAGTTTTAACGGCACAATCATCTTACTGTGCACACAAGGTTAGTGTTGTGTAACTAAAAAGAAGTGTGAAGAATCATTCCAGAGAGAATTTGCGAGGAGCATAGATGGAGAAAGGTCAACCCCATTCCCATCCCCATCGAAGAAGGTAGAGCAAGAACAATAAGCACCCACTCCTCTTCTTCTTCTTCTTCTTCTTCTTCTTCTTCTTCATCATCATCGCCTTTCCTTTCGAACAAATTCCAAACCAATCCCATGAGAAATGCGACGAATTCAAACCCTAACCCTATTAACAACCATGATTACTCTAAGAGGAACACACAACAACTACAAGAAGAGGGAGAAGAAGATCTCCTTCTATCCCCAACATCTATAGTTGGAACTTGCCCTTTTATGTGCCCTGGTTGGTATCTTCTATGTTTTTATCAATTGCACATGTTATATTCATTCATTTATCATTTTCTTTGTTATTGTTTAGTATTATTTTTGAATGGCAGAGCCTAATTGCCTTGAGAAACTCTGCTGAATTATATCAGTGTTTGTGTTATTGTACACCATCAGGTTTTAGTAACTTAGTGTTTTGTGGAGACTGACTGTTGTATGTGTACATGAGTCATATTTTGGGTCAAAGTTATGTTATTCGGTCTTCAATAGCTTGAGTCAAAGTTTCCTATTTTTAGGTATTAGTTATAGTAAAGAGAATTGAAGCAGCCTATAAATGCCAATGCATGGACACAGACAGAGATATGGCAATATATATATATATATTTGCTGTGTATTTGAATATGAAAATTGGGTATAGAGATGTCAGTGTACATGTGGGTGTATTTATATTTTTTCCCACCGTCTCTCCTCTTTGTTACCGTATATTTTACTTCAAACCCCAATTGGCATTCTAAAATTGTTAAAAATAGCCCACAAAGTTTTCATGAGGCATGTCCAAACACAAGACTGTCATGACCCTATCCACCCCAAACAAAGATAAGGTAGTGACCGGCCACTAGCCATAGGCTATCAAAGGCCTAACTATACGATTATAGAGTACTCCTGAAGACAATTGGGGTAAAATCATTATAAATAGCTAAAGTCTTTAAAATTCTTTAATCGGTTTAATCTCAGAACATCCATTCAGAGCAAGTGCGTAGATAGATGAAATAAACACAAACTATTGCTTTATTTAATTATTACAACTTTCACTTTACAACAGAGTACAACTTGAAACAAAGCTACTGTACATCTCAGTTGCCAAACTAACTATACACAAAGAGTCATTACAAAACGTTTCTCTCAAAGAGAAGGCACAACATGTAGGTCCTTTACGTCACACACACACACATATAAAGCTGGCACAATCTTCATTCACTTTTGTCACCCGCATATATATAGGGAGGAGGGGTGAGCCAAAGCCTAACGAATAACATTTAATCAAAGGTGTAAAATAATGGATATTAGCATTTGTACAATAAAAAGTACAGTTGAACTTGAACTAGGAGTTTAAACAGTTTGAGAACAAAATAGTATATACATTTTATTTCAAAACAATGACAATGAACTCCATGTACACTCTATGTACTTTGTCGTAGTTCTGCTTATCTTAAATCCTTTAGATTCAAGTGTTTCTCTCCAAGGCTCCAACTTAATGTTAATTCCTTCTCTAATCTTATATACTAACACGATATCATTTGCAAAAAACATATACCATAACACATCATCCTGAATATTTTTTGTCAACTCAATCATAATTGAAAATTCACTTGTTTCTCCAACAGGTGATCTAATAGTGGTCATCATACCTTTATATATGTCTCTAATCACATCAATGTAACCTTTTGTCAATCCTTTCATCTCTAGCATCCACAAGATTATATCCTGAGGCACTCTATCATATGCTTTCTCAAGATCGATAAAAACCATATGAATGTCTCTTTTCTTTTCTCTATACTTTTTTATTACTCTCCTCAAAAGATGGATCACTTTCATTGTTGATCTACTAGGCATAAATCTAAGTTGATTCTCTGACACCTTTGTTCAAGGTTCTGAAAAGCGGTTGCGGTCGCTGTAACGGTGGTGGTGGCGCGGTTGCGGGATGTAAAGGTCGTAGCGTAACAGTTGCGGTAACCGGAACCGTAATTTTTTTTTATTTTTGCATAATTTGAAAAAAACCAACCGATACGCATATTTTTTTTCCATGATCATATTTATTGGATTTTAAAATAAATATGGATCAATTTTTGTAAATTTTTAAGTATGATCCAATATATTTCATATTTTTAAATCACTATAAATTGAGTTTTTTACATTTTATTTTAATAATTAATGACTTTATATTATACAAAAAATCAATCACTAACTATTATATATAAGATAAATAATGACAAAAGTAAGAGAATAAATAAGAGTCTAAATATATATATATATATATACATATTTTAATCAAGCCAAATAGATAATGACCACACTTATTATTGTTATTATTATAATTATTATCAAACAATATATAGATAGACACATACAAACAAAATGGTTAAGTGATAGCAGCTGAATAGAATAGCATAGGTCTTACAACTTCAACAAATCAATAACATGTTCTACATCTTCCCTTTTTTCTCTCTCTATCTCTTGCTCCTCCATCTTCCCTCTTCTCTCTCTATCCCTCTTTCACCATTTTCAGCTTCTTTTTTTTTTTGTGTTTTTTTGAAAGAAGAGTTCGGAACCGTTACGTAACGGTGTATAACAGGCCGTTACGTAACGGTTGTTACGGCACCGTTACGATTGCTACGGCAGCCGCTAGGCCGTCACACCTGTGAATCTCAATCACACTGCAAAAACGGCTGTAATGGGTGGCGGTAACCACCACAACCGTTACGTAACGGTTGCGGCCGCTTTTTAAAACCTTGATTGGGATATAAGTATTTGAAAAATGATTTCTTAATAAACCCCCCTATAGAAGAACATGAATATTGCCTCAATTCAAGCTAAGAACAAGTCTAGGTCAAGAATCTAAGTTTTTCCCGTTCTTCCTCTTCTTCTCTTCTCTTTTCTCCTTTCTTTTCTTTCTTTTCTAGTAGATTTTCTCTCTTTTATTTTATTTTGTATATGCAAGAGGGACACTTGTCTCTCATATTTATGTGTATATCTCTTACAAGTGGGAGGTGGCATCTCTTTAAGTGAGGGGTGTGTGTGTGTGTGCACTTGTCTCTACTATCATACCACTAACTTAATTAATCTAGATTAACACTCCCTCCATCCCATTTTGATAGTCCCTTTTGGAAAATTCTAACTTTTTAGGGGACATGTAATCATTGCATCTGAATTCAAATTTTAGTGCACTTATTCCAATAATACCCTTCTCTTTTTTTATTTTTTAATATATTTCTAGCTATTTAAAAATGGTAGTTTCAAAAAACTAAATATTTTTGGGTACTCAAACCATAAATCTAAATTTGGATTTCTTTTGCCCAAAGGTCCATGCGCGAAACTATTGAGTTCATAAGGACATGATTTTACAAAATGACCTAACTACCCATTCTCCATTCAGCGTGTTACCTATTGAAAATCAAACCAATTCTCTCTCTATTTGTTGAAAATCAAACCCAGTCTATATCTCTCCATTTTCTCTCTTTCTCTTCCCCATCTCTTTCTTCTGTTATCACACCCCTCAAACAAACCCTAGAACACCACCTCTCTTTCTTCGGCAAAGGCTCGCATCCCTCTGTCGTCCCCTTCTCGCCTTTATCTCTCTGCCACCAGCATCGCCGCATCGCCATCGCCATCTCCATCACCATCGCTGTGGACCTCAGCGACGAGAGAGCCTTCGCCGTCAAGTGGGCGATCGTTCCATCACCACCACAGCCATCCATGTTCCGCCTCCTCTTCTCCTCCAAACCCCCTACCATTCGTCACTAGATCTGTCGTGAAATCGAGATCCTTTGGAGTCGGAGTTGTCTGACCTACAGGTGTCGGTGGTGGCTCCTCCAATGTCTTTTGGCCTTTTGATGATGCCGGACAACTGGCAGAAGTGTATGAACTCTGATCATCCATTGGCCAGGGCAGAGGCCAGCCTCACAATGACTTGCCTTCATCAGATGTGCGATGCGGAAGAGGTCGTGGTGATGTTGGACAGCCCCTACTTGGGCGCGGCCTCTGTCACTGGTTAGATAGCCTCCAGTGGTTTCACATTCTCCTCCACCTTCTCAAGCACCGTCGAATGAGTGTGTGAAATTGAATGAGGGTGGTCTGTGAAGCCCTAATCTAACAAAAACGTATCTCCTCCTCTCTCTCTCTTTCACTCTCTTTCTGTGCATACATGTTTTGTAGTCTTAGATCTGGTTGTGGAAAAAGATGATGATGATGAGTTCTATGTGTGGGTGTGTTTGATCTGTTCAGAGAAAACCCCTTCATTTCTTCTTCTTGTTTAATTATTTAGATCTGTTCAATTTTTTTTTTTTTTTTTTGTAGTTGTGTTTATTTCCCAGATCTGATCTGTTCCGATCTGTTCAAATTTTTTTGTTGTAATTGTTGTTGATGATGATGAAACAACTTGTAACAGATAGAAGGGGGGAGAGAGAGAGAGAGAGAGAGAGAGGGGTGGGGGTGGGGGAGAGAGATTGATCCAACAGTTTTTGGCAACAGGACAGTGACAAAGATCACAAATAAAGATCGAGTCATTCTCTTCCTTTGGAAATGAATAGAAGTGAGTAAGCAAGTGTTCATGATCATCACAATCTTTTGGCTCATGAGGCAATGAAGCATAACCAACATGAAGATCAAAACTACATGATTGCAATAGATAGATTTCAATAGAGATTTTTTCAATAGATAGAGAGAGAAAAGTGAAAAGAGAAGTGGAGAGAGAAACATATAGAGAGAGAGAAAAGGGAAGTGGAGAGAGGACATATAGGGAGGTTTGAAAACGGTGTGAATTTGAACAAATAGGTTATAAAAATTGAACAAATAAAAAAATTAAACAGATAGAAAATAATTTGAACAGATAGATATAAATTTAAACATATAGTCAAAAAAAAGTCAACAAATAAATTAAAGGGTAAAATTGGAAACAAAATATCCTTCAAAACAAACAGAAAGACTTTTCACCAAACTATTTCACAAAGAGTGGACCTTTCACCAACAAAAAAATATCTACTCAACGTAATGCCTTATGCCCTTCTTAAGTTGAACTTCTCAACAATTTTCTCAATATTTTTTACTTTGACTTTTCAAATAGGACTAACATTTTGGGACACCCTAAAATGGGACAAAAGGAGTGCTAATTAAATTATGTTAGTACTAATTAATCAAGTTTAGGCCACTAATCACACCTAACTTAATTAATCATGTTTATGGCTAATAAATCTTGATTAATAACACTAATCGCGCTTAATTACTACTAATCCCAATTAAGTT